GTTAAGAGAGTAGGTGCAGTTTGCATGAAGAGTTTACCTTATCGATGACTGCTCCAGGACAGATGTTTGGAAACGCGTCGACGTTGAGGAGGAGTAGAATGTCAAAAGTGCTAGTTGTGTCGTGCCGTAGATTTAGAAGCGGCGACTAAAAGAGAGGTGGATGGTAGAGTGAGACTTGCCGCACTGTAGGGCGGGATGTCGAGTTCATGGCACCAGCGGATCCATTGCGTAGCTTTGTGCGCAAGACGTCTACTAACATTTTTTCGGGAACCTGTATATCGGAATGCGCAAGTAGTACGTTTCCCAAATCATCAACGTGTCAAAGGACAACTGGCACCTTTGGCTGAGACATCTTATCCATCACCCTATAAAAAAACTCCTTCACCCGCGATACCCAAATAGTGGAAGAGAGCACCAAGGGATCAGAAGCACCAGAGAATCCTGACAAGGGCCCATCACCTGACCCTCACGGGACACGACCCCAGTAGCCGGAACAAGGCTTCCCCCAGACCGGGGTAACGAAGCAGAGGGAACTGCAGGCGCGGCATCGAGCCCACCACTGGGCAACGACCCGAGACCTTCCGGCGCACATCTTTCCTCAGCACAACGACGAGGTCCCGACCATCAGGGGCAACCCCCTACCAGCAGGAGATGCAGATTTGCACAGGTAGCAATTCGGAGCCCCTCACAGCCCCATTATTTACGGCGGGAGACGCCAGAGCACCATACTCCCCTACCTCCTCCCAAGGCACACCACGAAGGGGAGACACTCCGAGCCCGATGAGAACGCTTTGTGACAGGACGCACCACACCACTCCCACCAGGACCCTCCGCAGGCACAGCCACAATCTTCACATCCACACGGGCCACACCCTCACAGTCCAAAGAGTCCACAGAGGCCACATCGCCCTCACTGTCCACATCATCCAGGGGAAACAGCCTCAAAACATCGGCACGCTTGCAAGGGGATGAAAGCATCAGAACTACAGTCGGCGACACACACAGGCACGGCAGGCACTTCCTGCTGCCGAAGCACCCCCCTTCCAAATCATCAGAACTTGCGTCCCCAGGTGCCGGGACCACAGCCACAGGCAGGGGCGGGATATGGACCTCCACTGGGACATCCTCGACTACACGCAGTGCAGGCAACGGCCAGACACCCACACACACACACACACCGGCTCAACAGCCCCAGGGGCCACAGCAGTTACCAGATGTGTCGCACAGGCCGTAGAACGCGTTTCAACAGGCAGAGCAGCAGACAGGCAATCAGGCGCCTCAGGCACAGTACCCACTCCGTCCTCGGTACCGTCTGAACGCAACAGGGGCAGAAAATCCTCTGCACGAAAAATATGCACCCAACCCTGAAATTCGAAGCGGGTACCATGTGCTCCCAGGGAGAGGGGTGTCGCACGCATACCACTACCCTGGCACGCACACTGCAGCCAAACCTGACCTAACTTCGGGTTAAGAGAAATATAGACTGGAAAAATATATTATATGTTGAACACTTGATTAAATTTGGTGAATAGTTTATAAGTGTGGGCAGTGAATAAGAATATAGATAAATGACTTGACATGATGACCCTTGCGACCACATGTATAACAGGTGCGTGTATGCCCCTAATACAGGCAGCAGAGTATGTAACTCAACACCGGCATCGACGACAGGACACTACACTTCAGTGACATCGTCAGAGTGCGGGAGCCGTCAAGCATCCCAGCACAATGCCCGACAAGGACCTTATTCCAACGAACACTTAACACGGTCGACATGAACTTGAAACCGGCCATATACTGCAGGTATGTTGACGACATTTTTACACAGGTACCTGATGTCAGACATCTGCAGGAGCTGAAGGAGGCATTTGAGCAGAGTTCCGTGCTGCGTTTCACTTACGAGATGGAAAAGGATGGGAAGCTGCCCTTTCTAGATGTAACAGTCATGGAAAAGGGCGGAGGTTTCCACACTGCAGTCTACACTAAGGAAACGAACATAGGAATGTGCCTATATGCCAACAGCGACTGCCCAGACATGTACAAGAGGAGTGTTGTTAACGCATATGTCGACCGTGCTCTCAGCCACAGCTCAGAATGGAAGCAAGTCGATGAAGAACTCTGTAGGGTAAGGCAGGTCCTAGTCAATAACGGCTTCTCCAATGGTTTCGTCGAAGACATCATAAGAAGGAAAGTGAAAAGCCATGCAACCTCTGAAGAGACAACTGACACAACACCTATAACCCCTATTAGACTATTTTACAGGAACTTCTTTTCCACAGCTCATAAAACGGAGGAAAGGGTCCTGAAAGATATTGTTAATAGAAACGTTATCCCTACAGACAAAAATCAGAGGATACAACTGACGATTTACTATAAAACCAGAAAAACGGCCAGCCTACTCATGAGAAACTCTCCAGACACAAAACAGAACGCTTTAAAAGAGACTAACGTCGTCTATGCCTTCAAATGCCCTCTTGGGGACTGTAAGCTCCAAAAAACCCAGTATATAGGCAAGACAACAACATCTCTTTCTAGGCGTTTAACGATGCATAAGCAACAGGGCTCCATTAAGGAACATATAATCTCTTCCCACAACCAAACCATCGCCAGAGAAATCCTAGTAAACAACACAGAAATCATCGATAGATACAGCGATAGCAGGCGGCTTGACGTTTGCGAGGCACTACACATCAAGAAGTCAACACCAGCAATCAACAGCCAATTATTGCACAACTATATTCTACCCACCTCAAGACTCCGCTCCAATATAGAAGCATCAAGAAATATGGACCAATAGGCTTTCTACAAACACTTCTATTCAATACCCATTGTTTCGTGTTCTGTCTTGTGTTGATGAAATTAATACCCTATTAATGCCACCTCTTGTTCTGTCTTGTGTTGATGAAATTAATACCCTATTAATGCCACCTCTTGTTCTGTCTTGTGTTAATGCCACATCACCCCTTCCACCTCACTCAAATGTAGATATAAAATCGGAGATGCGTAAGTTCTATTCAGTTGTGTATTTGTGAACTAAAGTCTTTGAAAATGTAATAAGTTTTACGAAACGGGCTCGTGTCGCGTCAGACTAGAAATAAAAATGAATTTTGGAGAATTGATTTTTGATTTACCTCCAACAGTGAAAAGAAATGTACGAAAGACTGAGAAAATTCGTGTTAGAATTATTAATCTTACTTTTTCGGTCATATTTAATAATATATGTCTACAGGAAAGACTGCTACCAAAATATACTAATATATATATATATATATATATATATATATATATATATATATATATATATATATTCTAGGGCTGATAGTGCCATATTGTATTATGAGATTTAACCCACTTGGTGAGGTTGGTAGCATAAGTGTCGAGCCAGGAGTTGAGCTGCCAATTGAGATAAGCAGCTGATAGTCCTGATGGGATTGGATGAAACCTGACTATAATAGCATAGAGTTTTGGAGTCATTATTATATCTTGTATGTGTGTTGTATATGTTCTCTGTCCATTAAATATATGTATTCTTCAGGTGTTTGCCCTTGTCCTAGTGGGGTTTCCCAGAAAGTAGGAAAGAGAGAAAGAGAGAGAAAGAAAGAATCACAGCTGTGGACAGGGTGGTACAGAATTATAATTCAAAGGAACGGGGATTGAGGAGGTTATACCAAAATAGGGAGAGAGTGGGGTATCACAACGGCTTGATTGGGTGTGGGCACGTGACAACGAAGCCAGTGTTGGAACCGCACCACCTTAATGTGTAACGCTGAGCCCCTCTCCAAGAGCATGAAGCATACAGGGTGATCTCTTGATCAAAGCACAAGCACTCTACGGGTTTTGGTTGGTTGTACAGAAGGGACGCATGCACCTACCAGCAACAACATAATAATCCCCACATCTCTGCCACAGAAGTGTGTTCTTCACTGTAACTTAGGCTACCCTTTTGGGTCCCTGGGACGAACACACTGGTCCCTCTGTTTACTGCCACCGCTCACTCAAAAGAATCGCTACAGGAACTGCCCCCACCTTCAGGGTTCGCCAAACCATAGGTGATGTGTAGCTCTTGGTGTCTGCCTCACAGCTGATGGTCCACATACGACGCTTGGCGAGCTGTCCAGGCCTATATGCTCGTCGGACACTCCGTTTTGACTCAGTGCTTCCGAGGGTGTTGTTGAAGAATCACTACGGCTTCTTCCTCTAGCTCCCTCAAAGTTGTCACCATTCTCAGATACACGAAGATCGGCGTCCTCCTTTGGTAATCTTATAAATTAGTCGGCTCTCACACAGTCTACTTTAACAACCTCATGGGTCTGTTGTTTCATGGTCGCCGCAACTTGTCTTGTCACTCTGCTATCCTGGGTAAGCTTTTGACGAACTGATTTCTTGAGGTCAACTGAGCTCTTGCTCACTGCTGGCTGTCGTCTCTATCCATACTTGGGTCGGTTCTACTGAGGGGGCATCGAATTAGAAAAACAGGTCCAACAAGGAGTGGAGCGCCGGTGACAAATGTTTCCCTGTTTTGTCTCGAGGCTAAGACACGATCCTTGGTCAATCTCCTGGCCTCCTTGCAAGACGTCACGATGGTTCACGACGCTGATTGGCTCCTACAGGTAGGTTCCTCCTTGTCTGTCATGGTAACCTGGTGTCTTCAGCTTCTAGATACTCTGGCGCGTCGCTGGTTCAGGCGAAAAAATGTTCTCGCCGCCCTAAGATCCCACCATATAATCGTCCCTAAACTTACACAATCATACTCATACTGATCCTTCCTATTCTTCGTCTGATGAAAATATACTGGCATGAACGAACAAACCACAAAACAACGGCTGATGTGTGGGATCAACTCTCATACAGAAAGCAGCTTAGGCTAGGCTACCTGGAATCATGAAACAATTCACCCAAAATAGACATGCACGTAGTGGAGTAATGTTGCACACAGATGTTTCATGAATACAGGAAATGTATGACTATTTCTCTTAATTTGCACTGAAATTTCCACCTACTTGTTATCAATAGCTTGTCTTAGTCCGTCTTCAGCAGATGGGATTAGCTCCATAAGGCGAGAAAGGGTCTGAAGCACTTTGGACTCCGATTGTTTGAAGAACTGCTTAAACGTGTCTCCATAAGGCGGCATCGTTACCCTGTAAAGATCACACGAGCTGCATAAAAAACTTTGAGCATATATCAATACTGTACATACATGTACATGCATTTTTGAAAATGCAATCGATTCTCCATCATCAAACAGATATTATTATACATCAATATTGGTTAATATCTTGAATAAAATCAAATCAAAATAATTATTCAGATGTGCAGACGATGTGTCACAATAACGTGACTGAAGTATGTTGACCAGACCACACACTAGAAGGTGAAGGGACGACGACGTTTCGGTCCATCCTGGACCATTCTCAAGTCCATTGTGATGAGGGAAGGAGACGAGGGCAATAAATAGGCAAGAGAGAGGGGTGAGGAACAAGGCAAAAGGTACGAAAGTTAAGGTGCAGTAGAGGGGATAGTAGTAGGAATAAGAACTGCAGAAGGCCCATTGGTCCATACGGGGCAGCTCCTATTTATAACTACCCAATGAGAAGGGGGATAGTAATAAGAATAAGAAGAGGATAGCAAGGGAATATAAGAGAAAACAATGGACAGAAAAAGGAAAGAGAAAGAAAGATATATGGAAGGGTAAGTTTATGTTAGGTCTCGTTTGTTAGAAAGATTAGAGCATTTGAGTATATACTATGAAAGGGAAGAGTCAACAGCAACAAAGCCAGGACTCAAGTTGATGTTGGGTACGTTGTGTATTAGAGCCGATTCAACAAGACGGCGTCTGTGTAGAGTAGAGGCAGGAAAGATTATTTTGGAGGAAGACCAATCAATAGGATGATTAGAATCCCTAACATGACAGAAGAGAGCATTAATTGTGTCTGCAGACTTAACACTTCTTTTGTGTTCTTTAAGTCAGTCATTAAGTGTACGGCCAGTTTCACCAAAGTATAGGAGAGGACAAGACGAACAGGAAATAGAGTAGACACCAGCAGCATTAGAAGCAGGAGGAGCAGTGTGAACTAGATTGCTACAAAGTGTGTTAGTTTGTCGAAAGGCGAGCTTTATGTCAAGACAAAAGGTATTAGTAAAAGTTTTGGTTTCAGATATGAAGGGAAGGCATAGTATAGTGCTACTAGGGTTGGAAGCAGGTTTAGGATGAAAGAAATGTCGTTTAGGATGTTAGAAATTAGCTTTCTGAGTCTGTGTTGTTGTTTCTGATTTAGCTACTCAGAACGAAGTGTCCATGTAGCACGTCCATGTTCCTCACGTGTGCCCCAAAGAATGAGGTGATTTGATAAAACACTATGATCAAGATTATCAGAGTGCCGGTGGGATGATGGGGAATTAGCCTCGGCTACCATCATCTTTTGTCCTGTCGTGATGGTCGAGTGGTTAAGGTGTCCTGTACACCAGTTGCAGAGTGCTCCTGGCAGTATGGGTTCGAGTCACTTCTGGGGGGTGTGAGTTTTCAGTTTATATATATATATATATATATATATATATATATATATATATATATATATATATATATATATGTTTCATTGAATATGACCGCATATTCTGTATTTATTATTTTCTGGTTTAGGGCTTCTATCCCTCTAACTATTTTCTTAGCATCAGGGCTTAATTGAAATAGGAGTTCTCCAAAACTCATTTTCGTACTTTTAAGGTGAAGAAAAGAAGTGATTTACTATAGAGTGTATTACACTTATTTGTATAATTTGCACGACGTTTCGAACCTCCATGGTTCATTCTCGAGTGAACAGATCTTACAATACTAAGATCTGGTAGTATTGTAAGATCTGTTCACTCGAGAATGAACCATGGAGGTTCGAAACGTCGTGCAAATTATACAAATAAGTGTAATACACTCTATAGTAAATCACTTCTTTTCTTCACCTTAAAAGTACGAAAATGAGTTTTGGAGAACTCCTATTTCAATTAAGCCCTGATGCTAAGAAAATAGTTAGAGGGATAGAAGCCCTAAACCAGAAAATAATAAATACAGAATATGCGGTCATATTCAATGAAACATGTTTGAAAGAAAACCTGCTGCCAGTATACACCAATATTATATATATATATATATATATATATTTTATTAAATATGACCGAAAAAGTAAGATTAATAATTCTAACACGAATTTTCTCAATCTTTCGTACATTATGCTTCACTGTTGGAGGTAAATCAAAAATCACTTCTCCAAAATTCATTTTTATTTCTAGTCTGACGCGACACGGGCGCGTTTCGTAAAACTTATTACATTTTCAAAGACTTCACAAATACACAACTGATTAGAACTTGCATTTCCCTGATTTTATATCTACATTTGAGTGAGGTGGGAAGGGTGATGTGGCATTACATTTGAGTGAGGTGGGAAGGATGATGTGGCATTAGAGGATATTAATAGGGTATTAAAAGTATCAACACAAGACAGAACACGAAACAATGGATATTGAATAGAAGTGTTTGTAGAAAGCCTATTGGTCCATATTTCTTGATGCTTCTATATTGGAGCGGAGTCTTGAGGTGGGTAGAATATAGTTGTGCAATAATTCTTTTCCACAGCTCATAAAACAGAGGAAAGGGTCCTGAAAGATATTGTTAATAGAAACGTTATCCCTACAGACAAAAATCAGAGGATACAACTGACGATTTACTATAAAACCAGAAAAACGGCCAGCCTACTCATGAGAAACTCTCCAGACACGAAACAGAACGCTTTAAAAGAGACTAACGTCGTCTATGCCTTCAAATGCCCACTTGGGGACTGTAAGCTCCAAAAAACCCAGTATATAGGCAAGACAACAACATCTCTTTCTAGGCGTTTTAACGATGCATAAACAACAGGGCTCCATTAAGGAACATATAATCTCTTCCCATAACCAAACCATCGCCAGAGAAATCCTAGTAAACAACACAGAAATCATCGATAGATACAGCGATAGCAGGCGGCTTGACGTTTGCGAGGCACTACACATCAAGAAGTCAACACCAGCAATCAACAGCCAATTATTGCACAACTATATTCTACCCACCTCAAGACTCCGCTCCAATATAGAAGCATCAAGAAATATGGACCAATAGGCTTTCTACAAACACTTCTATTCAATATCCATTGTTTCGTGTTCTGTCTTGTGTTGATACTTTTAATACCCTATTAATATCCTCTAATGCCACATCATCCTTCCCACCTCACTCAAATGTAATGCCACATCACCCTTCCCACCTCACTCAAATGTAGATATAAAATCAGGGAAATGCAAGTTCTAATCAGTTGTGTATTTGTGAAGTCTTTGAAAATGTAATAAGTTTTACGAAACGCGCCCGTGTCGCGTCAGACTAGAAATAAAAATGAATTTTGGAGAAGTGATTTTTGATTTACCTCCAACAGTGAAGCATAATGTACGAAAGATTGAGAAAATTCGTGTTAGAATTATTAATCTTACTTTTTCGGTCATATTTAATAAAATATGTCTACAGGAAAGACTGCTACCAAAATATACTTTATGTCAAATATACTTTATTATATAATAATAAAATTAAAATAAACTAAATTTAAACAATTTATTGAAAATAAAAAAAACTTTTGGCCTATTAGGTAAATCAGGCCTTGTATAGTAGGCCGAGAAGTGCGTTCTGGCTACTAGATACGACATATATATATATATATATATATATATATATATATATATATATATATATATATATATATATATATATATATATATATATATATATATATATGTCGTATCTAGTAGCCAGAACGCACTTCTCGGCCTACTATACAAGGCCTGATTTACCTAATAGGCCAAAAGTTTTTTTTATTTTCAATAAATTGTTTAAATTTAGTTTATTTTAATTTTATTATTATATTATATTAGGACCATAATTTATTGACTTAGATGTGATAGTTTAGGTTAGGTTAAGATAAGTTAGGTATTGATGGTTAGGTTCGGTCATATATCTTACTTTAGTTTTAACTCAAATTTAAACAACTTAACTTATACATAATGAAATGGACAGATTTATCATTTCATAAGGCAAAATTTAGAAAATTATATAAATTCAGAAAACTTGGCTTATTAGGCAAATCGGACATTGCATAGTAGGCCAAGTATGACGTTCTGGCTACTAGGTACAACATATTATATATATATATATATATATATATATATATATATATATATATATATATATATATATATATATATATATTATATATATATATATATATATATATATATATATATATATATATATATATATATATATATATATTAGTATATTTATATATAGCTGTCTTTCCTGTAGACATATATTATTAAATATGACCGAAAAAGTAAGATTAATAATTCTAACACGAATTTTCTCGATCTTTCGTACATTTCTTTTCACTGTTGGTGGTAATTCAAAAATCAATTCTCCGAAATTCATTTTTATTTCTAGTCTGACGCGACACTTGAGCGCGTTTCGTAAAACTTATTACATTTTCAAGACTTTAGTTTACACATACACAACTGAATAGAACTTACATATCTCCGATTTGTTTATATCTACATTTGAGTGAGGTGGTATGGGTATTAAATTCATCAACACAAGACAGAACACGAAACAATGAGGTGTTCTGGTCCATATTTCTTGATGCTTCTATATTGGAGCAGAGTCTTGAGGTGGGTAGATATATATTCTACCCACCTCAAGACTCCGCTCCAATATAGAAGCATCAAGAAATATGACCAATAGGCTTTCTACAATCACTTCCATTCAATACCCATTGTTTCGTGTTCTGTCTTGTGTTGATGAAATTAATGCCCTATTAATACCACCTCACCCCATCCACCTCACTCAAATGTAGATATAAACAAATCGGAGATGTCTAAGTTCTATTCAGTTGTGTATGTGTAAACTAAAGTCTTTGAAAATGTAATAAGTTTTACGAAACGCGCTCAAGTGTCGCATCAGACTAGAAATAAAAATGAATTTCGGAGAATTGATTTTTGAATTACCACCAACAGTGAAAAGAAATGTACGAAAGATCGAGAAAATTCGTGTTAGAATTATTAATCTTACTTTTTCGGTCAT